TATGAAGAGCACATTGCCCATACCCCCATGAGGTTCTTTCCACCCTTGGACAAGAATCGACAGGCATGGAAGGCTCACATGGAGGCCTTGCAAGGGCGGGATGTGCAAGAGGACAATCCAACCGTGGCCAGGGCTGCCTAGCTGCTGGGCCAAAATGGGTTGCCTGTGGCCCTTTCTGTTATTTAAATACTTTTCTAATCTAGGTTTCTAGTTAAATTGTAAAATCAATATAAAATGGTATAGGAATCTAAAAATAGTGAAACTAGTTTTGTTAGTCTCTTAAAATCATAATCTACCTGTTAATGTATTTTGTTCACATAGTTTGAAAAAATTCTTAGAAGCTATATAATTAATTTAAGATACTTAATATTATAAAAATATAAACTTGTAGGAATGATTGTGATAAATTGGTAATATTGTTGACCCTGAAATTTGTACAGTAGGCTCCTAGCAATATTAGGTACTCACTGTAATTATTGTAGCTCTAGGATAATTAGTTTGCTAGATAGATAATAATGCCCTATTTCGAATAATGGTTAAATCGATATAATGAAATAAAGAAACACCTTGGGTTTATATAACTAAAATAATTGTTGGGAAATAACGTCTTATTCGACAACTTGGATACGTAGACCAGCGTTAGAGCTATCTCGTTAGCTTGTGAGGCGTGATCAGATTTCTAAGTATTTTTGTTGTCGTTGATTATTTACATCTATGCATTTGCATCAATGCATATCATATAGGTACAATGATGGGTCAATGGATCAATTGAAGGATCATTGAGAATCCGAAGATGATGTAATCGTATTCTCTCCAAGAGATGATGCAATGGGCTTTCTATCCAGTTGATGGTGGATGATCTGAAGATGCAGATACTAACTTTTTAATATATATCTTACCTAGGCAAGCCCTGGTGCATAACCCCTACTTTTCTGCAGTTTAAATTATATTTGTGCATTAAGTTTAAAGGAGTTGAATGAAACCCACTTGCATATATACATCTTTATCGTATGAATCTTACTAGTATGACAGGAGAATGCTATACTACAGGACTCTGGTAGAAGTCGAGTGATTGTTTGTCACTCGCGAGAGATAAGAAATATATTACTGTATTATTATCACTTGAAAAATATAAATGCGGGCATGACTTGGTTACACTGTTTTTCCTGTCTGGTCCGTTAAGGACCGGTCATTGCAATGGACGCTTGGCAAGTCATAGATCTATTGTCCCGAGCACATACTTGGGTATGGGCGCTTGGAAGACTTATTGCTCTCCTGTCGTGGATCCAGCTCTTTCCGGACCGACTGTCAGGGTTTTTTTGGTGGAGGAGGTCCTTGCACCGCACTGAGTCCGGGACTTAGGGGCGAGGGCTTGGAGTCCCAGTTTGGACGGGGACCTGGACACCCAGGACAGGAGGGTGATGGGTTGGTCCTGCTTGTGCCTTAGGTACAAGCGGGGCGTGTGTTTTTGAGGCACCCAGCTGGGGGCATTGATTCACGAATCGTCGGGCAATCCGGTACGTCTTGTTTCATGTCTAGCACCGTAGTAAGAACTGAAGATGAAAGATGAAAGATGGAAAAAGGAAATCTAATTGCTTACCACATGCTTGAAAGTAGCACAGGTGCTTACATAGAATGGTTAGTTAATAAACCAATGCGGCTATTAATAAAAATCGAATATAAGGACGCACGCTTAGTAATGCTTCCTGCAAATGCAATAAACCCACAAGGCGGATAGCCTTGTATATCATTGGAGTCTTTTCTTTTCTCCTGTCGGGTAAGTCTTGCTGAGTACAATTGAGTACTCAGAGTTTTATTCCCCCTGTTGCAGGTGACAGGTGGATGCTAGAGCTGACCCTTGTGTGTGGATACCTCCTGGTGGGCTCAACGAGGATTCCTTTTACGCTGCGATCGTAGTTTTTATTTATAACTCTCACTAAATGTTTTTATGAATGAAAGTATTATAATCTGTTGTCATAGTTTATATATCAATGCTTCATCATTTCATGAATAGGTATTTATTTCCGCTGTAATTCTAATCACATGTTTATATTCCGCTGTTAAATTAAATTATTCATAACTCTAATAATATGATTACATTCTAATGTTATAATAATAAATATTATACTCTGATGTTGTATTACAAGTGATGTAAGAAATGTATAAGAATGATGTAAGCTTTATTCTCTCATTTATGATCCTGATGGCAAAAATATGGATTTTTGGGTTCTCCCCTGGGGTGTGCCCGATGGAACCGAGTAATTTAGTGTTCTCCCCTGAGTGCTTAGTGTCTAATGGAAGATGAGCACTCCTAGGACACATTAGATTAGGTGGTTCTACCACAACAAGGTCAAGCGGGATGAGCACGGCGCCATTGTCAAGCACAAGGCGCGCATCGTCGCTTGAAGCTTTGTCCAGCGTGAGGGCATTGACTTCGAGAAAGTCTTTGTGCCGGTAGCGCGCATGGAGTCTATCCGACTGCTTTTGGCTTTGGCAGTAGCGAAGGACTGGCGTGTCCATCATCTGGACGTAAAATCAGCCTTCCTCAACGATGAGCTGGTGAAGACGGTCTTCGTTAGGCAACCTTCGGGTTTCGTCATCAAGGGAGCAGAGCACAGGGTGCTCTGACTACGCAAGGCTTTCTACGGGCTACGGTAGGCCCCGCGAGCGTGGAACGCCAAGCTTGACGACATGCTAGAAGAGCTTGGGTTCATGAGGTGCGCAACCGAGCATGCGCTCTACACGCGGCGATGGGGGAAGGAGGAGCTCATCATCGGCGTGTATGTGGACGACTTGATCGTCACCGGCGCGCGTGCAGAGAAGATCGACAGCTTCAAGCACGAGATGACGGCTCATTTTCGAATGAGCGATCTCGGCACGCTCTCCTACTACCTCGGCATCAAGGTGAGACAGGGGAAGGAGGCACTCACACTCGGTCAGAGCGCGTACACCTCGAAGTTGTTGGAGCGGAGCGACATGGCTGAGTGCAAGTCATGCATGACTCCAGTGGAGGAGCGGTTGAAGCTGACGAAGGCCAGTACTGCGGCGAAGGTAGATACAACACTCTACTGGAGCATCATCGGTGGTCTGCGCTATCTAGTCCACACGAGGCTGGACATTGCGTTCGCCGTGGGCTACATCAGCAGCTTCATGGAGGATCCCCGAGAGGATCACTGGACTACGGTAAAGCGGCTGCTGCGCTACGTAAAAGGGACGGTGCATCAAGGGATCGTCTTTCCCAAGACCGGTGGGAGTAGGCTGCGGCTCACTGTGTTCAGCGATGCAGACATGGGGCGGGACATCAATGGACAACGGAGCACCTCTGGCGTGCTCGTTTTTCTCGGGTCGGCCCCAATCTCATGGCTGTCGCTGAAACAGAAGGTGGTGGCGCTGCCCACGTACGAGGCAGAGTACATGGCGGCTGCCACAGCGGCGTGCCAAGCTGTGTGGCTGCGCTGGCTACTGGGCGAGCTGACCGGTGTGGAAGCTCACCCACCAGCACTGATGGTGGACAACCAGCCCGCCATCGCGCTCGCGAAGAATTCGGTTCTCTACGACCGGAGTAAGCACATCGACGTCAAGTTTCACTTCCTTAGGGACTGTATCGATGGAGGACAGATCGTCATCGAGTTCGTCGACAACTCGTGGACGTCCTCACCAACCTACTCGACCGTCTTCGTCTCACAGAGCTGAAGAAGATGATCGGTATAGAGGGTTCACGGGTTAGCAGCAGGATTAGGGAAAGAATTGTTAAGTAATCTGCTACTCTCTTTGTGTGAACGCATGGCAGGGAGGCGGCGCTGGAAGGGCTCCCTGCTGTTGCACTGTGGCAGCTGCAGGGGCAGACACCGAATGGTTCTCCTACCATAGTGTAGTCAAAGTCGGCTCTTTTGTTACATCTAGTCACTATAGCAGCATGGGAGCCTGACATGTCTGTGTACTAGGATTAGATCGGTAGAGTTGTATATATAGTTTGCCACTGCAACTCAGTAAAGAGAGCGAATTCAATTTTGCCATCTCCTCTGCAGAGCTCCTGCCAACGCCGGTGCTTGTACTGTGTGTTCTGTTCTCCCTCCCTTCTTCTACCTTTTGCCACGGTGCGTGGTCGGCAACAATAATGCATGATCGGCAACGGTGGTGAGTGGTCGACTTATCGGTGCTGGAGATATAGGGCTAACATTTCTTTCCAGTTATTTTTTTTATTTTTCTCGGTACTATAATAATAATAAACTGACTAAAGTTTAAAGGGTCTTCGTCTGAGATGATGATGCGTCTAGCGTCTTCGTGTGATTGGATAAAATAAATTCTAAAATAAAATGTTGGACTGAGACAAGGTGGAAGTTTTACTTGTTTGCCCAGTCCAACTAGACACTCCTAACTGCACTCGTGAATACAAAGCCCAAGCCAGCCCAACCTGTGGGAGAGGTTGGTGGCCCAGCGCAGAGAAAGGCCAGCCCATCCATATTTATTGTATTTCTTTCTTTCTTCCATTCTTCTTTAATCTCTAAAAACGATTCGTGCACCGAAAGACGGCCAGCGGATCGGGCCACATCACCCACTAACCCGCCAACTGTCGGATCCGGCCAAGACGTGATACGGAGCGTCCGATCGCGGGCGCAGCGGGTCTCTCACCCGTTAATCCGTCAACCCGAGCGGCTGCGAATCCTCGTGGACCCGCTCGCGACTCGTCCTCTCCACGGGCCGCGGCGCGTGTGCATTTCCTCCTCCAGTCCTCCGGCCCCGTTGCCCTCCGCGGCCCCCCGCACCTCCCTCCTCCCCCGCAGGCAAGGGCGGCGGAGTGAGCGACGCCGGCGGCTCTTGGTGCAAGCGTTTGCGAGTGGGGCGCGAGTAGAGATGGGTCACCGGCGCTAGCGCAGGGTGGCACGGGCCCGATGGCCGATGCCATGGCCCAGCAAGGCGTTGCTTCCTCGGCCCCCTGAACCTCACATCCCCTTCCCTTGGCGCTGCCACTCATCGCCACCCTCCTCGGCCGCGGCGCATCAAGCCCCGGCGCGAGACAGCCCGACACCCCTCCTCGCAGCCCCTGCGGCCACCGCCTCGTTCGTCGCACCTGCGTCTGCGAAGCGGAGCACGGCCCCACGGCCATGAGCGTTGGTGACGCTCATCCCATAGCAGTCGCCGTTTGTAAAGAAGAAGCAGGTCGACCGCCTCCAGTGCTTCCTTCCGCTGGCGTTGGTGAAGCAGTGGATTGGTCCAGCTTGGGGAGCCAGCAGCACACTCGCGCTGCTTCTGAGCAATGCCTGCACACCGTGTGCTTCACGAATTGCCCGTGAGAAGTGCAGATAGCTGAAGAGTGTGAAAAGGCATGGTCTAGCGACGGGCATGCGGACATGGCCATGGAGCTGCTCAACATGGACCTTCCAAGTGCTAAAGCCACAAAAAGGCACTAGCAGATCATGTCTGTGCCATCCTTGTTTCCAATAGCCATTTCGTTAAATTCAGAAATTGGGAAACTATTTCTAGAAATAGAACCAAAGTACAAAATTAGTCTGACAATAGTACCAAACCTGCAAGTTTTATGTCATTTTCTACTTCTAATAAAATGCATGTGACAAATTGGAGTTGCAGAATTTTGGTTTGGGAAGCCCATTGCATATCTAAATGGGGAATCCTTTCTTGCGCCATCAGAATATAATGGCTATTGTTGTATCTATTTCTTCTAGGTTATGAGTAAGCGCTATATGATGTGCCTATGTTCAATGCTTTGCCTAATTGACACTACATGCAACTGACAGAAAATCCTACTCGATGAAGTAAACAAAGAAAAAAATTTCAAGCTGTTGTGCTTGCCTAAGGTAACTCTATCATCCATTGCACTAATCTGGATTGCAGAATTAACCTGGCATATGGTTGAGACCTCGGCACAAGAAAAATTCAAATGATTTTACCCTTAAACTTTGGTATGTTCATTACAATGCCTATGCATTTGTTCACTAGAGCACCAAATTATCAGATACAGATGTTTATGCAAATCCTTCAACAGGACAATTGACTGAATTGTTTGTTTTTCCTGTCTTCATTCTCATAACACAGAGTGGTTGATGCATCAAATGGCTCGATTGTAACTTAACAACAATCATTATCTTTATCATATATAGTTCCTCAACTTTGCACTTCTCCATTCAAAATTTTTAGGAAATAGTAAGTATTATTTGGCGTTTCATTTAAGTGTACATGCCTAATATGTCAATAATCACAATCAAGTTAAAAGTTAGGTATGACAACCACCTAAATTTGTTTGGTTAATACAATTTTCATTTGGTTGGATATGATGTATAAGTCGCTATTTATCTTGCAATACTAGAGTTCTAGAATCAGATTTTAACTTATCGAGACTGTTTACCTTTTCAACCAATTATGATCACAGATTCATGTACATTGAGCCCTCATGTTAACTCTTCCTCTACCTTCCTCTCAAGTTCAGTTCTTATACAGATACATCCTTATACTGCCAAACTTAATTTATATAACTATATTTTCATTTTTTTTGTGCGAACTACATAAATTTTGCAAGCATTATCGATTACCTTCTCAACCCAATATACTCCTACAGTATCTGCCATTGGTTAAGACCATTGCCATTCAACCTGCTTCACATGGCCTCTGCTTTGCTAAGATGCAGGAAATGGGCAAATAGCCATGGAGATTGCTTCTGTGGACTAAAGAACCACCAACAATGGCCCCGTTCGCTGGTCTGAAACTTGGCTGAAACTACCTGGTTTTGTGAGAGAGAAATACTGTAGCGGCTGGTTGATAAATAGTGTTCTGTGAGGGTGTTCAGCCGGCTGGTAAAACCAGCGAACACGGCCAATGTGATAATCATGGATCAGGTTTCAGATATTTTGCCGCTACCGATTGATTACTTTACATTACACGTTACAACTTACAACCGGCATTGATATGAACGAATTAATAATTATCAGACTTATTTGGGGAGTACTACAACGTAGTGGACTGTTTCCTTTTTAATGGAATTAAAGTCGAGCATTGAAATGTGATATGTATGCAATCCTTCCTATCTGATATAGGCTGTGCAGGATTGAAATGCAATATGCTATGCTGATTCCCACACTGATGGTCTCCATATGGACACAGAGGTGCGCAGCAACGCCGCGTGTGCTTTCTAGTCCTTACGATTGATCCCCAGAGAGAGAGAGAGAGAGAGCTGCTTTTTTTCCCTCAGAAGTCAAATTACAATCCTAAAAAAATAATTTGGTTAGCATACGCTAGGCCAATAGATTAGTCAAACTTAAGACTGCTGGCTAGCAAGTACGACCAGATCACGTCAGTCTTCTGCGCTATAGCTTGCACGTCGTCGTGGTCAGTTGTTTCGTCTGATTACTCGCACTCAGGTCGTCTCCAGTTTTTCTCTCACAGCTAAAAAAACAAAAAAATGAACACCATTTTGGTGCGACAATTATCTTGGTTCGCCTGTCTGCCACCTGCGATCCCGCGACCCTATGTGCACTGGCTCCCCCGTGCAACAATCACGGCAGTTGGCATGCGGACACACGTGCAGTGGCTCCCCTCACGACAATCATGATAGTTGTTGATTTTCCTTGCATGCTACCCGCAAATACCATGCTCGCCCCACGATAGTCAAAGATTCGCCTCCAATCACGCTCAAGATACAGCGGCCTCCAAATTGGAGGCTTGCGATCCCTCTCTCGCCCACGCCGTCGCCTCCTCTCCCCGTGCCGTCGACCTCGTCGTTCCCCGCTTGTCGTTCATCGTTCGTGCGTCGGGGAAGCGAAGGGAAGAGAGGCAGGCGTCTTAACCGACGACGCTTTGGCCGGCGTCTCCGTAGAACAGCGGCAAAACCTCGCCCGTGCGACTGTAGAAAGCACGTCTGTCTGCTCTATCCCATCGTTGATCATCTCCTGGCTCCCACCACAGTAGGAGATCCAGAGGCAGGCACGAACAGAGCACGAGCACGGCTACACGGGCGACCTCAATCTGCGCCGCCGCCACCTCCGACTCACAGTTGAGCGCGCGAACCAGGAGGTCTTGGGTTTGACGTCACCCGCGCTCTGCACCTTCCGACGCTAGGTCCGCACAGTCCAGGTCGAGATCTGTCTGAGCGAGGACGACGACTCAAGAACCGTGTAAGCTTCTTGCCCTTTATTATTGAATGAATATTGTACTGCAGATCCGGAGGTTGGCACGAACGGAGCACGATCATTGGTCGTCCTCAATCCGTGCCTGTGACCATGTTAAAAATTGTGTTCCCTTTTGAAATCTCTGATTCTGCTAATTGTTGTTCTTTTACATGGACTGATGTCCGTCCTCAACAAGAATAATAATAAATGAGAGAATTACTTTGAAGCTCCTATTTCTGCAGACGTCGAAGAAAAAAAATTACCTCAGCTTTGATCCCATTGCCAAACCATTAAAATCATGTAAATAACAAATTCAACGACAATGATAGCATCATGCAAAAATACGCATAATTTTCAGGCTTGAGGGTGTACTGACCTCGCACGCCTTTCGGCATCATGTAGATGCAGTAGACCTGTGTGGCTGCATGTGCTTTTGTGTGAAGTCAGACCATATTTCATATGTCACTATTGTCCCATTTGTTGATTTTGGCACACCTTATGGGTTGTTAGGAACTTGTGGAAGTTTGCAGAATCTAAATCATCACTTAGCTTTTACAGCTACAACTTGGTTCTAGATATTCGATAATGATCTTTGGGCTGCTACCTTACTGAACTCAGGTTCTGCCGTTGGAGCAGGTGGTCCTAATCTGCCGTAATTGACGGCGTTGCCACTCCCAGGTTAGCCTATATCATCACTTAGCTTTTACAGCTGCAACTTGGTTCCAGATATTTCGATAATGATCTTTTGGGCTTCTACCTTAATGAACTTTAGGCTGCCGTCAACTTAGTTTGTACCTCAATCACCATGAGTGCCACTCCCAGGTTAGCCTATATCATCACTTAGTTTGTATTCGCAACGGAGGGAGTAATTACAAGTGCATAAATGTAGACATGGAAATGAGTTCCAATCTGTGAATGGAGTGCTCATGAAGTGGATGATGTTCTGTCTTTTCTCAATTGCATGCCATTGAGCAGTTGACGCAGCTGACCCTGTTCCCTTCTGAAGCCTATTTATTCTTTGTTTATTTTAGCTTTCCAACCATCAGCCAACAGGTTAAAATATGGTTACTCAAAGAGACAAGTAACTGATGTAAATGCATATAAACGTCCGACCCTTATAACTTGATTTAGACAATACTTATATTATCTGTACTGAACTGCAATTCTTTTTCTGTTTCTGCATTCAAAATCAGTGCACCATCACCATGCATCAGTCATCTCTGAGAGAGATAGGAGCACTGCAGGCTCTGAGAAACAGTATCACATGTTTTAGTCTGGACATTTGGAGCTACAGAGCTTCCAATTATACATGTTGGGTTCAATTAAGAGTTTATTTTCAAGTTACAGATTTTTTTGTTTATCACAGCTGAAAATAGTTTCTGGACCACTGCTGGTCATTTGACTACATGTGCTTCCATCACTTTGGTTGGTTTGTAAGTCCTTCAGGCATATCTGTTCGTTCATAGTGCCCATTGTCTTCATTGGGTGTGTGATTGTGTGGAGCTAAATTTTCTAACACTATTGTAATTTTGATTGCTTTGGTATTTACTGTATGTATCAGTGTTTCCTAATTAGCATAAATTTTGATTCATTCATGTAACTCAGGGACAGGCTCTAGAAAAACTTGCTTATGGTAACTTTGTTTGATTATGTGGTTATCCTTCAGCTACTCTGTATTTTTTTAACCGAAGCTACTCTGTATCTCCGGTATTAGAAAATAGAATCAGATGACCAGAGAACCCTGCTGTGTTTAGTGCTTGCGAGCGTTGGTAGTACTATTCTTGTTTTAGTCAAATTATCGTCATAATTAATTTGTCAAATAGCTTTGCTGGTGCATAACTACATCAGCCTGTAACTGTGATGCGCGGATGCAGAAATTGTTATCTATTGTCATTATTATGTGATTGTAGTAGTTAATTCTCTGTCTGACAATACTTCCAATCCAATATAAAAAAAGTTTCTCCTTTTTGAATTGGACAATGATAGAAAATAATCTGAACTACTATAGTTTTTGGTTGGAAGTCTATGTGCAATCAATTTATACTTTGTAGTCTTGTTTGAAGTTCTTGCACTTAGTCCTGCTTGAGTTTAGTTGCGATCAACTTTTCACCGCAAACGAATTGTTTCTCTACATAGGTTTTATAGACTAATTCAGCAATACCAGTCACAATATTAGCTTAAATGTATGGTTTTGAAATTGACATTTATCTACATATATCATTTTA